GTTACCGTAACGATTCACGCTATTGTTTAAAATTTGGATTTGGTCTTATTACCTTGTGTTTGCTTCTCCAATCCAATAAAACAAAGCCCCATTACAAGATAATCATATAGAGATAAAAAGGCTCATGTACAGAATAAAAACCTGTTAATAGTGTCAAGAAAGTCACCATCATCACTTCAACCACAGTTGACCAAAGACAGTCTTCTTCAGTTCCATGAGGCCTGGGTTAGATTCCTGGTGTACTAACTTTTTTTCCATGTAGTTGGCATTCTGAACTCCAGGAGAACCTGGGTTATCTCTCACATGTTTAGAAAAACTACATTTTTGTTAAATTTGAACTGGTACTAAACACTAAATTGTGCCCTAAACAAAATAACACTAAATTGTGCCTTATCATTGAACCACTAATCTCTGTATAAGAGAGGTAGACCAATGAGGGACAATCTAATGGAATTGTCTGGAATTAGAAGATAGGAAGATAATTATATTATTATCCCTAGTACATGTGATACAGGCCATGATAATCATGGTGGGTAGTTAGCGACTGATTTTACTGTAAGTGCACCACATGTCTACACACATGTGAAAAGCAGTTCAACTTTTGGCTTTACAAATGTTTTAGTTTTTTACAAATTTATTTATTTATTTATTTGCTCCTGTAGAAGGGTTAGCATTACCCGAAAGCTTGCGAAGAAATTAATAAAAATAGGACACTCATCCTCGGAACCTTCATTTTATAGTAACTTAAGAAATGTGCCAGAGCCCCGTTTGGTTACTTGCACTTGCAGGTGTGGTTGGACTTTTGCAAAAATCTGGGGCCATTGGAGCATTTTTTTTTTTTAATTAGAAAAAAGTGCCCAATGCAGGATTCGATCCCGGGTTGTAGTGGTCGAAAACCAATGGTTTAGACCAGGGGTCTCCAAGCTACGGCCCGAGGGCCACATCCGGCCCGCAGACAGATTTTGTCCGGCCTGCGGAGACATACTTGAAAACTCCTTTTAGAGAACAAATATTTTTTATAGCAAATAAAATGTTTGTGATAAGTTGGATAAAGAAACACAGAATGGTAATGAGTAAAGACATGTATAATTTATGCAGTAAATTTAACTTCAGCATATAATAACTAACAAATTATTGAAATGAATCCAACTTACATTTTATACATTGTAAGTAATGAACAACACATACCTTATAACATGACATATGAAATGCTAATGAGATGTATGTAATTGAGATTTTCCACCGACAATAGTTTGTAGTTGTGGACTAATTTTACTTGCACCAATTATTAAAAGAGATTTAAGATGCTCGTCAGTTAATTTAGATCTGTATACATTTTTTGTGTACCTCATTTTGGAGAAGGTTTTCTCACACAAATAAGTAGTACCAAAAACGGAAAACAGCCCACGAGCAAATTTATGCAAATTATCAAATTGTGTCAGTGGAAGACTTATAAAATTCCAACAAAGATGAGTTTTCATATTTGTTCTTAATTATATCACTGCACTGAAGATCAATCATTTCCATTTGAAGTTCCGGGGCTAGGATTTCAATGTCAGCATCAAAAGGATTCTGAAAAATCTTAATTTGATTCGCAATGGCATCAAAGTCCGAGAAACGAGTATCAAAATTTATCTTCAAAGCACTCAAAGTTTCGATTGCAAAATCGATAGGAAACTCAGTCTCAGTAGTGTGGCTGAATATTTCACATGTTTTAAAATGTGAAAAACATTTACTTCGTAGTTGTGATTGAAACAGTATCAATTTCATCCGGAATGACTTGATATTAGTGTATAAATCAGGAAGATGCTGGTTTTCTCCTTGCAATCTCAAATTCAGTTCGTTCACATGTTTTGTCAAATCAACATAGAATGCTAACTTCCATAGCCATGCGTTGTTTTGTAATTCAGTAAGAGGGCGGTGCTTTTCATTCAAAAAAATTTCGATCACTGCTCGAAGTTCAAAAAAGCGCTGAAGGACTTTCCCACAACTAAGCCAGCGTACGGCAGTATGATAAGGTAAGTCTGTGTCTCCAATCTCTGCAATAAATTGTCGGAATTGTCGGTGATTCAGCCCAAAAGATCTGATGAAATTAATAGTTGATATGACTGGTTTCAGAACGTCAGACATATCCAAACATTTTCCGCACAAAGACTGTTGATGAATGATACAATGTAAGACTAATGGTTTTGAGCCGCCATCATTTTCTACAGCCTTTGACACAAGAACGACCACTCCTTTATCTTTCCCACTCATGTTTTTGCCTCCATCAGTTGTAATACATTTCAAGTTTTTCCATCGAAGGTTCTTTTTATTAATGGCCATTTCAACTCCTTTAAAATATCGGTACCAGTAGTTGTGCCATGAATACTATACATATCAAGAAGTTCTTCGTGCACTTCATAGCTTTTATCTACTCCTCTAATATAAATCAACACCTGAGCAGTATCTGACACATCCGTTGACTCATCCAAGGCCAAAGAAAACCACTCAACATGTCCATTTTTGTCGAACAGTTGAGAGGATATATTTTCAGCGATTTTTTCTACCCTTCGAGCCACAGTGTTTGCTGACATACTGACAGTTTTTAATAAATTTACCTTTTCAGGGCACATTTCTTCGACTACTGCAATTATGCATTCCTTGATCATTTCTCCATCGGTGAATGGTTTTCCACGTTTTGCAATTTCAAGAGCCACACGAAAGCTGGCACGAGTTGCCGCCTCTTGTTCAGTTTTGACTTTTGTAAATAAAGATTGCTGCGATTTCAATCCGCGCTTCAAAGCTTCGGATTTTTCTGTCCGCACAATTCCTGTATATTTTGAGTAATTTTGAGAATGTTTTGTTTCATAATGACGTTTCATGTTATATTCTTTGAGAACGGCTATGCTTTCATTGCAAATCAAACATAGCGCCTTGTTACTGGACTCAATTACGAAATACTGAATGTTCCACTGATCTTTGAATTTTCTGCATTCACTATCAATTTTTCGTTTCTTTTCCATTCTGCTAAATCACACACAAAAGCAACAATTAATAATAACATTTAATAACAAATAAACATAACAATTAATACAGGAAAATTAATAATATGCAGTGTTGCCATCTTGGCCCTCGGAACTTACTGGAGTAATCAGTATGGCCCTAAGGCTGGAAAGACCCCATCAGTATGGCCCTAAGGCTGGAAAGTTTGGAGACCCCTGGTTTAGACCATCCTTCCACCGACCCCCTTTAGAAAGAGAATTTCCTAGAACAGGATGAAATAGTGTTCCATCATGGCTGATTTACATTTCAGAGATGGTGCAACATGAGGATTGATAACAAAGCACCAGCTTTGACAAATTGGGAATACTCACCTGGTTACACCATGGTTTTACCATGGGGGCTTTCATAAGAGACTCACTAGGGATTTCATAAAATCTTTTAATTTACCAAAGAGGTACAAGAAAATAAGACCTAATCCAATTAATTTAATAGTGTGTGACGTTTCGGTAACAGTGTTGTTAGCAAAATGTCACACACTATTATTTATTTGGATTTGGTCTTATTACCTTGTGTTTATAATCTACAATCCAAATTGTGCCTTATCATCTTTACCAAAGAGGTGTTTAGCTGGAAAATTATTGAACCACTTAAGCTAAAATGTCAATGGAAATTTTGTCTTTCACACACACAGACACAAACAAAAACATACACAGCACAATACAATAAGACCAAATCCAAATAAATAGTTGTGACATTTCAGTAACAAAGCTATTACCTTCATCAGACAAATTGGATTTGGTCTTGTGTTTCACTGTACAAGCTTGATACTCTAATATGATTGAGTGGAGATAAGAAAGAAGAAGAAAATCTTGCATTTCTAAACTTAAATCCAATTTGAACCTCATCAAATATATATATATATATATATATATATTGCTTATCCCTAGTACATGTGGTAGAGGCCATGATAATCATGGTGGGTAAAAGTAGGCGACTGCTTTTACTGTAAGTACACCACATGTCTACACATGTGAAAAGCAGTTCGACTTTGCATTTACAAATGTGCTAGAGCCCCGTTTGGTTACTTGCACTCGCTGGTGGGGTTGGACTTTTGCAAGAATCGGGGGCCATTGAAGCATTTTTTTTTTTAAATCAGAAAAAAGTGCCCAATGCGGGAATCGAACCCGGGTCGTAGTGGTCGAAAACCAATGATTTAGACATTGCTTCCACCGACCCCCTTCATCAAACACATATACACAAATAAACACAAACATAAATCATAAAAAAGAAAAGATGCCTCATTGCTAAAATTGAAGACAAGCCTATGATATTACAGTTTTGGCATCTTTTCTATAATAGGAGAGGTGTCTTTTTTCAGGATTAAGATTATTACCTTGTATTCAAAATACATGTATATTAAAATAGGTTTTAATATACATGTATTTTGAATACAAGGTAATAAGACCAAATACAAATAAATAAATAGTGTGTGACATTTCGGTAACAGTGTTGTTACCATCTTCAAAGGTACTGAATGTTTCAGTACTTTTGTCTGATGATGGTAACAACGCTGTTACCGAAACATCACACACTATTTATTTATTTGGATTTGGTCTTATTACCTTGTATTTATAATCTACTAGCCGAATTTCTTGGCTAAAAATGCGACAAATATCTCTTCCATATTTTTTTCTATGTCCTGTTAAAACACGTTTTACATGTACATTAGGTCAGCTGATATTACCTCCCATCTTCACCGCTAGAGGCGCTGCTTGCGAGCGAAAGAGCAAATTTGCAACTCAAATTCGGGATAGAGACCTGAAATATTCAATATAAGTTTTTCCAGATTCTACTATACATACTGCTAAAATTTCAGTCATATTAGTTACGTATTTTAGGTATATTACGTAAAAGCATTCCATTCACAAAAGCAAACCATGACAGAATTGATGACTCTGATACTTGTATATTTTAATAATAATATAAATGAGTTTTAAAAAATTGTAAAAAAAAAATGCATCGGCCGGGAATCGAACTCGGGACGCCCGCGTGGCAGGCGAGCATTCTACCACTGAACCACCGATGCTTATAAAAAATGGCCATATTTGGGTATTTATTCCATTCACAAAAGCAAACGGTGACAGAATTGTTGATTGATGACTCTGATACTTGTATATAGAATAATCCAAATTGTGTCAATATATTTTGAAAGAAATTTTAAAGACTTCCAAATGCAAATAAAAATGAACTTCCAAGAGATAACAAAATCCTTTATTAGTTAGAGATTAAATAAGTTATATTTAACTTGTGTCTCCCAATGAGGTTATTTATTATATACAAAGAGATATTATTAAAAGTTTCTATAAAAAAAAACCATACTAACAGCTAGCAGTCTAGAAAGTTAGCGGCCATTAGAAGTTGAAGAACTAGATGAGAAGGAATAGGAAACTGTGGGATCTCGCTGACTTCTGTGGTAGAATGGGCAATTTTAAACTTGAAGTACTCGCAGACATGTTCCAGGATCTCCGTGGAGAGTTCTGGGAAGTTGATTGTTCTTGTTTGGCTCTCTACAAAGTTACTCTTATCTTCTAGAGCTGCTCGGATGAATCCGGAAACCTTGGCAAACTTGGATTCAATCACAAACTCATCCCCTTCTGCTGAAACCAGCTTGACGAATTCCACTACGGAGTCTTCGTCTTCTGAGTTGGAGTCAAGATCTGGGACACACGTATCCCTCATGGATTAGATTGAAGTTGGGCAGTGGACAGGCAGGCCTGGAAATCTTCACAGATTCTCATAATACAATATGTCTGGATGATTAAACTGGCAAAACTGCTCGGAGGGGCTCACCACTGATGAGCCAGGCCCTCCCAATATTTTATCACAGAGAGAGATTGAGATTCAACTACTTTATTACAATTTCCACATACAAGGTTAAATAAGATTAAATACAAAATTGAATAAACAATGATAAATATTCATGGTAAACGGTTTGCGGATTTCGAACAAGGGCTTGCCCGAAAGCTTCTTTTATCGCGTTAATAAAAAAGAGTTGCGGCGATATATGATTCCTTCTTTCTAATGATAAATATATGAAAAAATAAATGGAAATACAGTAGAACTACCTCCCTGTAAAGGACAACACCTAATTGCAGAGCTAAAGTGTCCTTTAGGGAGAGGTGTCCTCTTACCGGAGAGTTGCTAAATTGAAAAACGGTAATTTTGCAAATGAAAACTGTCCTTTGTAGAGAGGTGTCCTCTAGCAAAAGTGTCCTTTAAAGGAGGTTCTACCGTATGTAAAATATTTGATTAAAAATATATATACATAGAGAGAGAGAGAGAGAAATGCAGTAGAAATTTATTTTTTATTTCTAAAAGAAAAATCTGCGCTAAAAACACAGTTAAACCTGTCTATAGTGCTCCCTCTAAATAGCGCCTTCCTCTCTATAGCGCCCGATTTTAAACATTGAATTGTAAACATTTTACCTTAAAAGTGACCTATCTATAGCACCCCCTCTCTATAGCACCCTATTTTGGTGAATCCCAAGAGGGGGCTACAGGTTTAACTGTAGCTTTAAATATCATGTACAGATGGCGCAATGTGTCTAAAAACCCTATGTGTAGATAAATCAATTGTTCGCAACATCAATTCCTTATCAGAAGGTAGTTTCTATTTGTCAAAAGTGGAAGGGTTTACCGTTGATGAGCCAAGCCCTTCCTCTTTCAATGTATGTTCATTGTAGTATAAGGTGTGCAGAAATACAAGGTAATAAGACCGAATCCAAATAAATAAATAGTGTGTGACGTTTTGGTAACAGCATTGTTACTTTTTTTTTTTTTTTTGCTTATCCCTAGTACACGTGGTACAGGCCATGATAATCATGGTGGGTAGTTAGCGACTGCTTTTTACTGTAAGCGCACCACATGTCTACACATGTGAAAGCAGTTCGACTTTGCACTTACAAATGTGCCAGAGCCCCGTTTGGTTAATTGCACTCGCTGGTGGGGTTGGACTTTTGCAAGAATCGGGGGGCCATTGGAGCATTTTTTTTTTAACAGAAAAAAGTGTCCAATGCGGGGATCGAACCCGGGTCGTAGTGGTCGTAAACCAAACGGTTTAACCAGCCTTCCACCGACCCCCGCGTTGTTACTGAAATGTCGCACACTATTTATGTATTTGGATTCGGTCTTATTACCTTGTATTTCTAATCTTTAATCCAAATTGTGCCTTATCACATCTGCAGAAATACTTTTAATCACATGGTAGAACCTCCATGAGAAAACACACTCTCTAGAATACACTTCTCTATAAAGGACAGTTTTTAATTTAAAAAAAATTCATTTTTACTTCTTCTTCATTCTTATCTCCACTCAATCACACTAAGGTATCAAGCTTGTAAAGCTTGTTGATGGTGTCTGCCGGGGAAGAGTAGAGCTCATCAATGGATGAGTCAATACAGTCAATGTGTTTTGGGGTTGCAGGTTGACACTTAATACATAGTGGGAAAACCCTGCAACCATTCTGGAAAGTCATTGTCCGTAGATGACCAGACTTAAGTCTGGAAATCAAAGACTGTTGTTCTCTTAGGAGGTCAGAACTGGTGCTTGTCCCTCCTGCTCTGTACCAGTCATGTGCAGCATTAGATTTCCTTTCCTGCAGGCATTAGGTTTTGATGGTACGGTGGAAGTCTCTTTCGTCTAGTTGGGTGGTAGATTTTACTAATTAGCAACTCTTGGGTAAGAGAACCATCTATCTAAAGGACACATTGACTCTGCAACTAGGTGTCCTTTATTGAGAGATTCTATTGTATATATATATATATACCTATCCCCCGATTTACACGGTACTTGTTTTACACGTTTTTGTTTTTACACGGTTTTCCAAATATGTTTTTTTTTTTTTGTTTTTATCGCACTATACTAAATGCTACTGTGATTGAACACATGCGCTGTGTACACATCTCACGAGGAATCCCGAGCTTATGTGCTGACTACATATTTTAACCTGTCAATACATTTTATTTTTATTTCTGTGTACACCTATCCCCCGATTTACACGTTTTTCTCAGGAACATATCTACTGTGTAAATCGGGGGATAGGTGTATATATATTTAAAAATATAGTATTCAAAATTAATACCAATTTTTCCAAATATAGAATTATCTTAATTATTCGTTAAGATAAGGCTTCTCTTAACTAAAAGTTGCTGATGGCTGGCGCCATCTGTCAGAATATATATCAACTTATTGTTGGGTAAATTAAGAAAAAAAGACCTCTCTTGATCATTTTTTAAATTTTTTTTATAACTCATATAGTACATGTGGTACAGGCCATGATAATCATGGTGGGTAGTTAGCAACTGCTTTTACTGTAAGTACACCACATGTCTACACATGTGAAAAGCAGTTCGGCTTTAGCACTTACAAATGTGCCAGAGCCCTATTTAGTTACTTGTACTCGCTGGTGGAGTTGAACTTTTGCAAGAATCGGGGGTCATTGGAGCATTTTTTTTTATATTAGAAAAAAAGTGCTCAATGCAGGATCCTGGGTCGTAACAGTCGAAAACTAATGGTTTAGACCAACCTTCCACCGACCCCTATATAAGAATACTATAACATCTATAGTTTTCTTATATTGCCTATTTGTATACTGTCTGGACTATACTATGCATTTATGTTCTCTATACTAAAAACTATTTTCAATATGTTAACTCGCTCATCTAAATAAACAACTCCACCTTTGCCGGTCCCAAGCCCGGATGAAAAAGGAGGAGGGGGAGCAGTAACAAGCTCGTTAAAAAACCTGGGTTCAGCTGGCCTGGCTGATAGTACCCTGTAAGGTCTCCTGATCCAGGGATACAGGATGAGCAGCGTTTGTACTCCATGTTAGGAGCAGCTGCACATGGCGTCTGTTCCTCATGTCAGAGGCGGCCATTTCTAAGTCGGCCTGCTACTGAGTAGTGCTCCCAGTCTTAATGACAAAGGCAGACACATTCTACTTCACCCAGTCATGATGGTTGTCAAGTCTCAAGCTCTACAAGCTTGATACCCTAATATGATTCAGTGGAGATAAGAAGATCTAAACAAACTTATACTAACCACAAATATTTCCATACATTTTACCAAATTAGCAAAAAGCAAGAAGCTAATGTACAGTGATTTAAACAATGTGGAGAGAACTGTTAAATTACGATTTACCCCAACTTTCTAAGTAACTGTCGATATATCTACATACATATCGTTTGATAGTGTGGCAGACTTATATCGAGCTATTAGGAAGATGATTGACGTAAATAAAAAATTCTGACAATCAAAAATATTTAAAATTAAATGTATATAAATGTTATTTAAAAGGGAGATTCACATTTTAAATGTAAATATTCATCTCAATTATACATCAAATATCTTTTGTTAAATATTTTGTTTAATATACTCGAATGAGAGAAAATAACAATTATAAATGTTTTATAAAAAAAAATACTCACATGAAGTATTATTGTTTTGTTTTTGCATATTATAAAATTTAACAAAAAAAATATCAAAACAAATAAATATACACAAATAGTAAAGCGGTCAACACAACGTTGCTAGTTTGTATTTATTATTTAATAAATATTATTTAAGTTAATTTTTGAGAGAAAATTAAAATTAAAAAGTATGCCCCTTTGACTAAAAACGTTAATTTTTACATTAAAATATATTTAAAATATTTTTTCTATTATAGAGAATTTTGATATCATTTTGAAACTTTAAGTACAATAATCAGAAATATTATGGTATTTAATTAAAGAACTTTTAGAAAAGATTTTCACAAAAATGCATTAAAAGTAGAAGTAAAATAATTAAGATACATTTTTGGAAACAATTAGATTTATAGATAGGGCCCTCCTGGAGCTAGAAGGCTAACTATAGGGATAAAAAAATAAAAATAATTAAAAAAATTAAAAATGAGATATTTATTGTATTTGAAAAGAAAACTTTTAACTTCACACAATGAAACATTCTAAATTTAATCAAACTGTTAAACTTCACTGAGAAAAATCTCTCTTTAAAAATTTTAATAAAAACTTTTAAAATGATTAAAAT